ACCGCAACTCGGACTCTTGGAAAATCTCAAGTACCTCCATTTGGATGGAAACAACCTTTATGGTGAAATTCCATCCGAAATTGGAGATCTTATGAAACTGGAAACGTTGCGTTTGAGTGCAAACAAGCTTTCTGGAATCATCCCTACTTCATTGGGTCGTCTTGTTAACCTTAAATTCCTAACTCTTCATATGAATCGCCTTGATGGACCGATTCCAACGGAATTAGGTGGCTTGGCGAAGCTTAATCAGTTGCTCCTCGGGCCGAATTTGCTGGAAGGGTGTATTCCGGAGGAGCTTGGGTTACTGGTGGCGTTGAAGAGTTTGGCATTAAATCATTGTCGGCTTTCGGGGGTTGTACCGCTATCGATACAGCGGTTGGAGGTGCTGCATACACTCTATTTGGAAGGGAATGATGGGCTTGTTATACCTAGGGAAATTCAAGTTTGGTCGAGCGAGAGAAATGTCTATTTGAAGGTTTAAAAAGGTTTCAATAGAATGATTTCTTTTATTTATCTTGTCATTTTAATACCAATCTGCACCACTAAAAGCTGGAATATGTGATGGCTCTGATGAGCTGACTTTATATCTTGCCAATCTCGCTGCGCTTCTCGCTTGACGAATCTTCAATACCTCATTCTTCTCAGGTAACTTGAAAAGGTGTTCATCAACAAATCGTCTGCGTTCGAGTTCACCCGTAAGTTTGTAGTTCCGATCAAGATTCATTTTCTTCAATGCTTCTAACTTGTGTAATTCGACCGGAATGTCACCCGACAAACTATTACTGTACAGATTAAGATCTTCCAAGTTTCCAAGTTCTCCGATTTCAGGCGGAATCATTCCAGTGAGAGAATTCTCCCAAAGTTCTAAGGTCTTCAATGCTTGCAGGTTTCCAATCTCAGATGGAATAGGACCCGTCAATTTGTTACTGGAGAGGATCAGATACTGGAGTGAGCAAAGGCTGCCCAGTTCTGGAGGGATACTTCCAGTCAAAACATTTCCGTGGAAATTCAAGTATCGAAGACTTTTCAACTGCCCCAACTCGGCAGGAATAGGTCCCGTCAGATGATTCCTGCGCAAATCCAACTCAACAAGATTCACCAAGTTTCCAATTTGAAAAGGAATAGATCCTGTATAGCGGCGACTTATTCCAATAACTTCAGTCAGAACAAGTTTGGTGAGGTTTGTCAAATGTCCTATTACTGGTGGAATGCATGGACTTTTAGGGTGCTGGTAGCAGACAACAGTCGCCTTCTGTAAAGTTCAATTAATACGGAAACAAAAAAATATTCATACAATATACCATCTTTAAATCAATAACAGTTACTTGTGGAGTTAAGAAGTCAGTTACGAAAACTTTGCGGTGTGCTGCTGACCATCGGATCCACCCTTCACCGATCCAATCAATTTGGGCCTGTCTTTTACTGCCACCAAAGATGGAATTCGAATTTGCATGGGGTGTAGTTGGCAATGGCCTGTTTGGGTTGTAGTCCACAGGCACAACATTGAGCACGTTGATCCGCGCAAAGTGGGGATCCATCACGGCTTGATTGATGCAACGGCAAAGTAAACGGTATGTTTTGACTTTCGATAGATCGCTCCATTCAAAGAAGCGTTGGAGTATTTCTTGTGGAATGCGGACTCCGTCAAAGTAGTTTGGTTTGTCCTTCTTGAGCTTCCATTGGACCTTGTTCCAAACATTCTGCGCTTTGATTAGAGCCTTTGGCGGGACGGTGCTGGTGCTGTTGCTGGTGCTTTTTCTCATATACTCGGGAGGTTTGGTGGATTTTTGGTAAACTTGCATGCATTTGGAAAAGATCTCAGAATCATTTATGATTGCGAAAACTGCTCGTAGTTAAAACGATTCATGAGATTACGAATAGGCTGGGTAATCATAAAACCGTTCCATCCTTGCTCGGGCGCTCTCATCTGCAGCCTGTCTCTTCGCCATTATTTCTGCCGCAATGTGTGGCAGTTCGTTCCGCACATCCACGCGGAACTTATTTTGGTCAAGCAACTTGCCGCGTTCGAATTCTCCCGTCAGTTTGTTGTTTGTAAGATTCATTTTCTTCAGTGCTGCCAAGTTATTCAACACATTGGGAATTGCACCCGACAAACTATTACGGCACAGATTGAGCTCTTCCAAGTTTCCAAGGTCTCCGATTGCAGGCGGAATTAACCCAGTGAAAGAATTCCCCCAAAGTTCTTAAGTCTTCAATTTGTGCAGGTTTCCAATTTCAGATGGGATAGGACCCGTCAATTTGTTGCTGGAGAGGTTCAGATACTGGAGTGAGTTAAGGCTTCCCAACTCTGGAGGGATGCTTCCAGTCAGAAGATTGCGATAGAGCGTCAAGATACAGAGGCTTTTCAATCTTCCCAACTCGGCGGGAATAGCTCCAGACAGACAGTTGAAGCTAAAATCCAATGTGGCAAGATGAATCAAGCTTCCAATTTCAGGAGGAATAGATCCTCTATAGCCAAGCCCGAGATCGTCAAGTTCTTGATTTAAAACAAGGGTGGTAAGGTTGGTCAAATTCCCCAATAGTGCTGGAATGCTTCGGTTTTTTGGGTGTTGGTAACAGACAATGGTCTGAGCATTTAGCATGAAGTAAGATTCAAGTGATTTCATAAGATTATAGTGTTACCCTTGTTACATCAATAGCCGTCACTTGTGGAGTTAAATAGTAAGTCACGAAAAGTTGACGGTGAGTGGCAGGCCACTCGATCCAGCCTTCATCGATCCAAGCCAATTTGTTTTTTTTGGAGCGTGTGTGAAAGAAGTTTTTCGATTCAGGCAAGGGGTGCCTATTCGGGTTGTAGTTGACAGGTACAACATTGAACAAGTTGATCCGCGCAAAGTGGGGATCCATCACGGCTTGATTGATGCAACGGCAAAGTAAACGGTATGTTTTGACTTTCGATGGATCGCTCCATTCAAAGAAGCGTTGAAGTATCTCTTGTGGAATGCGGACTCCGTCAAAGTAGTTTGGTTTGTCCTTCTTGAGCTTCCATTGGACCTTGTTCCAAACATTCTGCGCTTTGATTAGAGCCTTTTGCGGGAGGGTAATGGTGCTGTTGCTGGTGCTCTCTCTCATAAAAGGTTGGGAAACAACAAGTGCGCAATTTTAAAAGTTGTGTGTCAGGCAAGCAACAATTTATTGGTATTTTATCAACAATCCACTTTAATAGGCGGTTTCAAGCTGCTTGCCTGTTAATATTCCAAAATCAGTCTGAGACGGGAGTAGAAAGGCAGAAGTACTTACCAGAGTCCATAAGATGTGCCCGGGAAGGTTTGCCATAATCTGGAAAAGCATTTATCATCAGTCTGATGAATTAGTTTCAAACAAACAAAAAACAAACCTGATTGTTCCATCTTCACTTCCTGTGGCATACAATTGTCCATCAGGACTAAAACTCGTACAATGGACAGGACCATGATGCCCCTTATAAACTGTACAAAGATAGGTGTGATATTTAGGGATATAAAGGTAAAGATCAACAAACCTTCTAGTTCTGACCCCGATGCAAAATCGTATTCGCGTACCCATAAATCGTTTGTACCCCCCACAACGAATTTGAGTTCCTGTGGATGTAAAGCAGCACATGACGCATCAACTGAAACATCAAATTGCTTTTCCAGGCTGGCCCTGTGAACCATGGAACATTGAATAAAAATGAAAGAGAGGAAGGAAAATAAGAACTAACGTGATCGCATTGTAGAAAAAGACGCGTTTCCCAGCAGTACAAACAATGTACTTCTTATCCCACGAGAATCTCAAATCTGTCACTTCCTGCTCAAAAATTCTAGTGCTAACTTGTGTGCTTTTCCTGAGATCCCAAACTCTCATTTCTTTTCCGTCTCCATTAAACACGAGCCCGTGTGTTGTGTCAAGCAAACAAGTTTTCACATCATTATTAAGTCCTTCGAGTAAGCGAACAGGGGTTGTAGGCGATGGAGACCGCTGATCAAACAACTTCAGTTTCTTTTCGTTTCCTCCTGTAAGTACATATCGACCGTCATCTATGGAAGATTGTGACTACAGAATCTCCAAAATCATCGCAACCTCGGCTCACCAGACACATCCACAGTCTTGACAATATGCTGATGCTCAAAAGATACAACTGGCTGTCCAGTGACGTTGTCCCACACCTGATTGTATTGGGAGGTTAAGATCCTGTGTCTTCATTACAAAGAATGGACAACTACCTTTGCAGTAAAGTCGGCACTTCCAGTAACAGAAAGAGATGCATTCGGTGTGATTCTAGTTCCCCATACGGCGCCCTTATGTCCTGTAATTGGCATGGTCAAGTAAACTCCCCTTTGAACCTTGCGAGACGGAGTGCACCTTTAAAGCTCCCAACCCAGTCGCCCGTACTTCCTTTCCGTAAAATCGGGATCGAATCTAAAGCCAGCCAGGTGAGTGCAACGACATGTGGCTGCCTTCATTTGGGTTCATTTTACCTTTGCAAGCTGATAGCAGGAAGTAGTCTCCCGTTGCAACAAACGAAGAAAAGGAAAGGTCGTTGACGGGACGCGAATGGCCAGTGCAAGTCAGCGATATTTGCTTCGCAGAGCCTGATGATTCAGTAGAAGCTGACGCTGAGCCATGTGGTGTTTGCCATGTCTCACTCATCTTTTATAAATAATTATTGTGAAGAGTGTTTGAAAGTAGCCTGTATTTATAACTTAAAACAAACATGCGTTCGCGTCGTAAAGATGAATAATAAATCATAGAAGTTTTCAGATGCAGTCCAAACTGAAGCTACTACTAGACGCTAACCTCCCCAATACTTCGAAAAAAAGAAAACGCGCCATGCATCTTTATTCTGTAAGATCTACCCGGTAGAACATCAGCAGCTTGCCCCGATGGCCGTCATTCTTCAAATACGAATCCATTCGATGACATCGAACCGACTATTAATCATGCGGATCTAACTACGTGCTTGTGTAATCAGTTCATATTTTAGAATCTTGAACTAAATAGGACAATTGGAGGATCAAGCCCTTGTAGCGCAGTGGCAGCGCATCTCCCTCCTACCCTGGAGACAGGAGAAGGTCTTCGGTTCAACCCCGAACTTGGGTGGACTAGGCGGAATCGCCTGGCGATCAACAGCGGGCAAGCCTTGATTTTGACCAAAGGGTTTGTGCATTCAATTTAATATAAAGAAGTGCTCCAATTCGAGTTTTTGGTTGTTTATTTTTGACTCCGCATTTCCCTCCAGTTATTCAACTTATTAATTTATACGCCTTCTATAGAATACCGTTTTGTTCTATCCACACTTGAAGTTCTTAGAGTATCCGCCGATCATTCACCCCCCTCCACATTGGAAATCGATCCAAGTTGCACTGCAAAAACCAAGGAATGGAAACAATCTCTGGACCAATTGCTTGTATGGATTTAAACCGCTTTGGTTCCATTTTTCTATGTGGCTCAAACAACTCGCGGGACCAATCCAACTCCAACTCTTGAATCTTCCCTTTTTTAATATAACTATTCCACCGAAGCAAGCGATCTGCATCCAATCCGCATTCGGAACATGAAATGGCACGGAGCATCTGATATGGTAAAAACCCATAATTTGTCAAATGAGCTCCCCCAAGCAAGAAATGTTGTGATCGACCTCGTAATCGTGTAGGATGTGACTTCTCCACCCGCTCATACTCTGTCGCGTGTCCGAATAAGAAAAACGTGGGATCTCCCAATGTGAATGGATGTCCGCGAATAGGGAAGTCAGAAGCAAACCCCTCTGTCAGCCGACCCATTGTAAACCAGATCCCGATATCAACTGGGCTTGACCTCAAATAACAATGTTTGAGTAGCCGTAAGTTATGGAGACTTGCGATTTCATCGATATCTCCAAATGCAATTAAATCCAGTGATGAGTAGTACCCAGTCTTATTGTTCCATGCCTTGATTGTCTCCCAACGGAACTTCTCTTGATGGGTTTCGTGATTGAACAGGGCAGAATAGTTCTGCACCTTCTCGTGCCCTGCCTTTCCAGCTGTGAAAGCAGTGGCATCGTGGTCAACAATGTGAATGACTTTATCCGCAAACTTTTTAAAGCGAGGTGTTGTTTTGATGTGTTCCCAGATCAAAGGCTTTCGGATCTTGCGGTGTTGAGTCACCATTGACTCAACCAAGAAAATATGGTCAAACACATTGTAGTATTGGTGCAATGCTATTTCGAGGGTATCGACGTCATAACCGAACTGGAGACCAATTGCCATTCTTCGTGGTTGATCAAGGACTTCGGGCCAAAAGATCTTAGGGTAAGCAGCACAGTCGGTATCTTCCGGTCGATAGAGAGGCTCTTGGCAACTTGCATTGATCGGGACAAGTGGGTCTTTGATGACATAGGGTACAATGACATCAATCAAATCTGCAACCGCTTTGTCGAGCTTTGATTCACTTCCGTTTTGTTTCAGGAGAGACACAACGTTGTCAATTGGAAACTTTAGAAAGTCGGCAGCAAGACCGCTGACTTTGACAGAGCTGATTAATGGATCGTCGCTTGAGGCTGTACCACTGTTCGCCTGAGTGCTCGAATGCTGAAGAGGAGACCTGGAACTTGGCGATAGAACCAACGAGGCTCCCAAGAGGCAAAGGAGTGCTCCAAGTACCAACACAAGCGTGAAGTGCTGTATTGGTTTCATTTTGATTGATCAATATTGGATAAAAAAAATCGATGACTTAAAACTGCTTAGACACTTTCTACAAAATGTTATCTTAGGCACAAAATCAATACTCATCCATCTGTGCTTCGCGGTCTTCTATAGATTCTCCAATTGTGTCTCCTTCTTGCGCACCATTGTTGTCAGCCTCCTCCCACTTCCTCTTATTTTTGTTTTTTCCCTTGTAAACTCCACCTCCGCCATCAATAGCACTAAAACCTCGGCCCATTCGCATCCTCCGCGCGCTTTCGCTTTGGCTTGGCATACTGCAAAACAAGGCATATCTCAAGAGTGCGATTTTACGGTCTGTCACTGGCCATTTTGCAGCACCGGCTGCAGTTTGCAGGAAAAAAATTCCAGTCGGATATGGAGATGGACGGTATTTATCTTGCCGTTGATGTTGCGCGCCATCTTTTCAGGTTTTTGTGCATGATGAGGTCTCACACAAACAGCAAAAAAAAGAGAGTTACCCAAGAACCCGTGCTGATCTCCAGGGAGAAGAGTCATTCCTGTCAAGTACGGACTCTCCTTCAAAAGACTCCAACATTCACATTCTTCCCAGCCGGGAATCACCACCACAAAAGAAAGGGCTTTAGATTTAGTCTTTTTAGCCTTCGCTTCCGCTGACGTGGATTCAGGAACCGACAATGGCGCGATGGTGGTGGCGGCGGCGGTAATAAACGATGCGCGATCCAAAAGCTCGATAACATGTCTTCCAGCCTTCTCCATAATCGGTTTTACAAATGGTGGATTCACTTGAAAACTACCTTCGTGTGGCTTAAAGTTGAAAAAGTCGCCCAAGGAACCAAACGCTGAATCAGTGTCTTCAAACGCACTGCAATGCCGACCCCATCGACAGTTTAATGGACTCGCGAAACATTCGAAATCGACGCCAAATTCACGATTCAAGACATTGAAAGCCACGTTGGAAAGGGCGGCTTGAAATCCATGTCCCAACAGAGACTTGTATCGTAAGAGGAGAGCCATGAGGGCGTTTGGAAATTCAGATTCGGACTTTTCTGCGGAATATTTCTTGTAGAGATCTTGCAGTTTCTTAAAGTGAGATGGAGAAAGCTTGCAGAATGCGTTTTTGCCACAAGTAACATCAACACTGGTCAAATGATGTGTTATAGTTACAGCATCGACTTCTTCGTTTGCAGCTTCTCTATCTTCTGAAAGGAGCTTTGACTCGAGTTGGAGGAGCTCTTGGACACAGCTGGTGGATTCCTTTCCAAGCTCTTTGACGATATTCTTTGAATCTTTTTCATTCACGCCCGCCCGCAGCAGGTCGGATACTAAATTATCTTCAGCAAGAATATTGAAAGGCAGAAGAGGGTCTTTGCGTTGCTTTGGGGTTGATTTTGCCAGAGCATTGAAAACCCAACGTTCAAACGCTTGGATAGGAGGAGCAAGCTAAGCGATTCGGGCAAATCAGAGCAATTCTCTTTCAGGGTAACTCGCAGATGCATACCTCGTGTTTAAGCAACAGCTGTTTGAACTTTCTCCTCAATCTTCTGTCCAACGCCTGTCTCCTTTCCTCTACTTTCAAGTTAACGAACTTCTTCTGGCTTGAGATGGAATATGTTGCGCAATATTTTGCGTATTTCGCGGTTGTCTCAATAGACGGATCCCACACAATGCCAGCTTGGTCCTCCGTCAAACGCTCCCTTTCAAGCTCAGACCTTTCGCCTCCAGTAAGAAGAGAAGAGAACCTGTGATAGTCAGTCTCCTGCAATATCACCACTTGATGCAGCGAGTGCTGAACGTAGTAGTTGTTGCTTTGTGTTTTGGAAGAAGTGAAGTGGGAGGGTTTTGACACTTTTGACATAATAAGAAAAAAAGAAAAAGACGACAAAGGAAAATAGCATGAAAATAGACTTATTTTTTAGACATTTAATTATGTATAAAAGGAGAGAAAAGGTAAGATCGTTCGATCGCCATCACAGAAAAAATAGAGTGTCAATCAAAGTGAAGTGAAAACAAAATGTGGAGCAAGTCCACCGCACCACCTGTCTACAGCGAGACAGCAAGCGCCGCCCCCAGCTGCCACTGCCACCAAAAAAATTCTCCTCCATCAAGGACATTCGCCAAATACCGTCTAATTCCTGGACTTACGCGCCACAAGCAACTGCATCTATACCCTATAAGTTGGCGACAATCACACTAAAGACAAGTCCGCTACAGTCCCTTCGCCTCCAGCATGGCTGCTGGAAAACCACCAACCCGTCCTCACTTCCACCACGCCCCCAACTCTCTGACTTTGACTGACCCAAGAAACAACAATATCATCAGCACTCACCAACCGCTGCTGCTGGATCCCAGCAATCATCAAGACGGATTCAAAGTTGAATTCGCCAATCAGTCCACTACTGAATCCAGATTCCCTATTGACGAAGGTCCGCGTTTGTACAGCTCGCCCATTGGACGATTCCACTTGGTACCTTCCACTGGGTTGCAGATGAGATCATCTACAAGTCTTTCAAACAGCAAGTCTTTCTTAACCCTGAAGACAATGTACTTCAGTTCAGGCTCGTGTTTGTTCGCAACCACCAGAATCGCCAATCTCTGTTTGGTGGCAGCACCAGCTGAGAAGTTATTGGCACATTCACTACCAAAAAGAGTACTCAAGGTTTGGCACGGTGGTGTTTTCGAGTATTTGGGGTCAAGAATTCTTCTTTGATTCTTTCAACAATTGTTGACGCCGTTATTGCTTGCAAGTTTCGTGCTGTGAGACAGAGGAACAAGATTCTCAAGAACGAACTTAACTTCAATACTACAGCTGTAGAATGGGGAAATACTTCCGAAGTTGTCTGGTTTCATCTTAATCAGTCTTCTGGATAAAACTTCTGCAGACTGCCTCCACTTAATAGCAGTGCTACAATCAATAAAGACTGTAGTTGTTTTTAACAAAGTGTAGCAAAGGCTTTTTCAATATCAAGTCTTTTGGGTGGGCCGCAGCAGTTTGTTCCCTTAATTGTGTCAAGATAACAAATTGGGTGCTTCTTGGGTTCATTGACGGGTGCTTCAGCTCTATGCAAAATTTCTGTAGCCCGCCAATCTCCTTGTTTGGCATGCGGGATGCTGCCCCAGATCACGAAGCCAATTGGGTGCATCCTTCCAGAGATTCGAATAAATCGACTTTGATCTACTTCTGCGATCAATGGTTGCATCTGACCTCCACAGTCAAAGCCAACTTGCTGATATGAAGGAAAAAAAATGTGCTTGATAAAAATCAATTTGGCACGAACAAGCACTGACCAATTTCTTTTTCGTTTCTTTTAAAAACTACCCCACAAAGCCAATTCATCCCAACAGCTAAGATGGAACAAGGCAGATCACTCTCAATCAAGACATCTGCTCCAGTAGCAACGTCACCACTTGCCGAGTGAGTGTGCCGCCTCCTGTGCCGAG